CTGTGGGTGCCGGTGGTTCTAAGTGTTGAGGGATTGCAAGGCCATTTGATCCCCCATTCTGTGCTGCTGGTATGTCTTTGAGCTCCTCTGCATGTGGTGCTGGCACAGGCTGTTTGGGAAGGCCGGCATCTTGAACGGGCTCACTTGTTGGCTGTGCTTGTTGGGCAGGTGCCTCTGCTGCATCACGCTGCTCTGCTTCTGCTGGGGCTGTGGGTGCTGGTGGTTCTAAGTGCTCAGGACCTGCAAGGCCATCTGATCCCCCATTCTGTGCTGCTAATATGTCTTCGTGCTCCTCGGCATGTGGTGCTAGCACAGGCTGTTTGGGAAGGCTGTCATCTTGAACGCTTGTTGGCTGTGCTTGTTGGGCAGGCGCCTCTGCTGCATCACGCTGCTCTGCCTCTGCTTGGGCTGTGGGCGCCGGTGGTTCTAAGTGCTGAGGGTTTGCAAGGCCATCTGATCCCCCATTCTGCGCTGCTGCTGGTGTATGTTTGCCGCCATCCTCCACTTCTTGGCGTGGTGGAGGAGTGGTAGGAGGTGGAAGTGGGGGTTGTTCATCGGGTGCTGAATCACTCTGCATTTGGGCCAAGACTTGTCTGCTCCGAAGTGAATGCTTGGGTCCAACCTGGGCAGGAGTTTTGCATGATTCATTCTGGTTTGGTTTGGGTTTATTGCCAAATGATGTATTAAGTATATACAGGATACTTTTTCATACCCATATTACAGACATACATATAGATATAGGGATGGTTTCTTTGGCGGTTAGAACACAATATCTATATACAGAAATGAGCCAGGCAGCCTCACATGGAAGCTCTACGCAACCAGAAATGCTTCTGCAAAGTTTGGTGTCTGGCGCTGCTAGAACCTCGTAGTGGCTAAAAGCGTGGCCATCAAGTCCTTTTCCGAAGAAGAAGTAGAGATGCGCTGAAGGCTCCCCTTGTCCATACACAGCATCCAGCGGTTGCCCATCAATGTCACCAACCTGCATGGTGGAGCCCGTACTTAGAACCTTTGTTCCTTTTTCTGCATGTCACTTGTGGGTGCAGGGGACCTTGTATATATATATAATATAATTAATATAATGTAATATATATATATATAGCCACTTTTGACAAGACCTGCCTGGGCACTGCAAGTAACGCGGATGGTGATGCCGAGCGCAGTGGATATCCAGCGCAGATCTGCAGGTGCATAGGCTTGTTGTGACTGAACCCGCTGGATCTCAGGAAAAAAGCATGGGTCACACAGTTCTAAAGCCCTTGCGCAGGTAGCTGCATGGAACTCTTTCACAACCTTCAGCTCATCTTTTGCCACAATGAAGTTGACCGGCACCCCATTGTGTCGAGGAATCTTTTCAAACTTGGAAAGATCATGGCTGGCAACTAAGGCGTGCCATCCACACCAACCATCTGCTGGGACCAAAATTCGTTTGCGCCAGGCTTTCTGCACAGGTTCAGCCATGGTGTTCGTCTTTCTCAAAACCTGGGTCATGAGGGCCGTGCAAATCCTTCTTGTAGCATGTTCAACATGCCCCACACCAAGCTCATCACTCCAACATATGTTGTACAACAGCCTCTTTGTCACTTCTCGCGGTTGTGTAGTCCATTGCACGCAAACCCTTCGAGCTTCCCCATTTTCAACAGCTTCCCATGCATAAGAAGAGCCAGTTGCCACTTTGGAGAAGTCAACATAGATGAATATCGGGCAGGGATATGTTGGAGTGAGCAGGTCCAGAATCTCATTCACACGCCTGTCCCAAAATTCAGGGTTTCCAACCATGACTGCGCCACAGGGAACAATACCTAGGGCTTCGCGTCTGGATGCCACTCGTGGGTGTCCCAGCAAGTCTGATATAGAATCGCAAGTCAGCACAAAGTTGGTGGCGTGGCATTTGCCATTCCAAGCCTCCTTCCTTGCATTGGTGCATTGCCATTACTGCATATATATATATATATAGACATGTTCCACCCCCATACATAGGTAATAAACCTTTAAAACCACGGGACAAATACTTAGAACCTATTTGGAACAATGAATTCTGCATATGCTGCTGCAAACACTCGAAGTGTACACTACTGTGAACACATATAAAATGTTCAATTTGAACAGCCCAAGCATCCCAAGTAGCAAAGCACAGCATGTTTGCTGAGGGTAGGCCAGCTTGATGAAGGTATTCATGGACCCCTTGTGCACGCACACGGTTGACTCTGGTAGTGCCTCCTCCTTGCTCACAGACATCTTGAGGAATTCCGCTGTAATATCCTGGGCTCCCTGGATGAGTGCAGGTGCCGGCAAAGTTTTGAGAGCTTGTTCACCATGCTGCTCCCCACTCAAGCCATCAGCGGCTTTCTCCAGGTTTGCGAGGGGCTTTGCATGCTGCTGCGCCCTCTTGATGCTTTGAGCTAAGGATCCTTCTGTTGAAGAACATCTCATCGAAATCAGCCAGTCATAGGCTGCCTTCAGGTTCTCCGTTTTCTTGGAAATCTTCTCATTGCCATTCAAGTCAAAGGAAACCAAGTAGGAATTCAAGGTGTCGCTCACTTCTATCGTGCTTCCACTGCGCAAAAAACCGGAGAGATCAATTCCTTTCAAAATAGCTTGCTCAGCCTCCCTAACTCTCCCTCCAGCAAGGTTGGCCAGAATGCCCTGCTTCTGAATGGCCAAAGCTCCAGTCCTGGAGAAGTTGTGGGATTTCATCCATTCAATCCGGTCTTGCGCCTGCAGGGTTGACAAGTGAGACAGGGTGAGAAACATATGCCTTAGATGTTTTTAGATCACACTGAGTTTGTGCTTGGGAGATCTTAAACACTTATAACATATGCCAGTTTAGACCAAAGCAATGTTGGTCAGCTTCCCCGCCTTGCCCTTTCCTTTGAGGGATTCAAATTTATCCACAAAGGCTTTGCATACTGATAGGTAGGCAAAGGCTGCTTGTCGGCGCAATAGGTCTGTCGGAAAGTGCACCTTCTGAAATTTCCGCGGGTGACATTCCAAGCGCACCTGAAACCTCAGGACGGATAGGCAGGCTTGGCCAATGATTGCACTTAGAACCTGGTTCAAGTTTGCCTTGCGCCATCCCTCGAACTATTGCAAATATATACACATATATCATATATCTATGCATACAAGTATGCGAAGCAACCAATGGGAATTGCCGAGCCAACACAGGGAATCTCCGTGAGGAACACTCCAACCATACTTGAATCCTCAGGATGGAGGGAGAGGCTTGGCCAATGGTTGGCATTTCTCTACACTTAGAACCTGGCTCGAGAGTTTGCCTTATGCCATCCCCCAACTGCTGTATATATATATATATATTTCTATACATCTCTATACAAGCATCATCGAGCGACACAGGGAACTTCCGTGAGGAACTTTACAAAGCAAACAAGAGGAATTTCCATGAGGAACATTCCTAGCACACTTGAAACCCCAGGATGGGTGGGCAGGCTTGGACATACTTAGCCAATGGCTGGTATTCTTCTACACTTAGAACCCGGTTCAATTGCACTTTTTTCTGCTCGTGGAACCTGGTGCGACTGCCAAAAGCAAGAATGAGAAGCTTGCCCTCTCATTCAACGGCCAACGCACATTCTGCACGCTCGCTTGGCCACAACTGCATTCTTGGTCCTTGAGGAGGCGCAAGAGTGGTCCAAATGCCAACACTCCCCCTGAACGGTAAAATAGATGGGTGCTTGCGGGGCTATTGCAAGCCTTTGCAACTCTGCCACCCTTTGTTCCAGTTTGTCCTTTTCTGTGCAGAGAGCACCGACCTGTTTCCGCAGGCTTTGCACTTCCCTGGCTAACTCTTGCGTGTCATTTTCTGGATCACCCTGCTGTTGCGGGCCGGCTTCTGCTACAATCATAGGATTGGACTTGGGTCCGCGAAGGGGGCAAATTGAAGCCATCAACGCGCGAAGTAGAAGGATTGGTATGGTAACCAAAGCGAGAAGGACAAGCGCATCAAAGAGAACATCGGCTGCAGCTGAAGCTAGAAATGCCATGGGAATCACTTCTAAAGAGCCCCTATAGCTTTTGAGCACTCATCATTTTGCTGTGCACCACATGCTGTACCGACCTTTGGTGACCACACACTTAGAACCTTCCAAAAAAGAATGAATCAGTTATGGTCTGTCAAACCACTCTGAGATAATGCGCCCATTTCCCCTCAATAGAGGCTTGTACACGGATGAAACATGATCGAGGAAACAACCTTTACACTGTATTTAACACAGTTTGCATCCCCGACACTTAGAACCTGCTCCCGAGAGCTTGTCTTGGAGTCTTTGTTTAACTTGGTTGCCCCGCTCAAACATAACTTGCTGTAGTATCATATAAAAAACATATATAGTTACGCCAAGCCATGATAGACGTTTAAGAGCTTTGTAAGTGCTCTCAGTACCTTCCACCCCACACTTAGAACCTGCCCTCATAGTAGTGGATGAAAGCTTTCAGTTGGTGAGGCCCAAAGTAGACACGTGGTACACATTGACCAGGGATCAAGAACATTCATCAACGCCAGAGTTGATCTACCGATGCACATTTGCACGAACCTCAACCCAAACATGAGCAAAACACAAAGTTTGGTATGAGATCAACTGCTTGGGAGCCCCACACTTAGAACCTCACCGGGTGTTGGATAAATCATCAATGTTGCAACTTTTGATGCATGTACTGCATATATGTATACAGTATTTGCTGTTGTTTCAGGCCAGCCAATCACCATTATACCCTTTTTATCTTGGATCCGCTGTTTCCCACAGCCACCATCCTCCCCTTCACCAGACACCAACTTATACACGCAGCACGGCAACCCATAAGCGAATTCTTGTATTTCTGATGGCAGCGTCTCCCCTGCCGCCATTGCTTGCATCGACCGATGTGTCCGCCCTGAGCCAAATCCTTAAGCTCGGCCACACCACCTGGAAACAATCATACCCGCAAATAGCTTGAGGAACTCTCACTTAGAACCACTGGAAGTGCACAGCTAGCAAGATCTTGTTTTTTGGGTTCTAAGTGTATACTTAGAATGTCTCCAGCCGTGTAAACAGAAAAAATATTTTTTCCAAAATAGGTTCTAAGTGTTTGTCCGTGATTATAATCCTTCATTAAATTTATTAATGTCCATAGTTCTTTCACAAGTTTTGCAGGTTTTATCTTCCATAAATATTAAAACAGTAATTTTCTTAAATATGTAGTTCAGATTTATCATTTTATTCATAGAAAATTACAACACCCAATACCCAAAACCAAACAACAACCCAACAAACAAAAAAACTGACAAAGCAAAGAACAAAATACAAACCAAAACAAATAACAACAATAAAGATAATTCCTTAGTCTTTAATAATCCATCTTAAAAATCCATAAATCTAATAAACAATATTATTAGAATTATGATGAGTAAATGTCTTTAATCATTACTAATTTAAAATGAAATGCCTGTATTCCTATTATACTCTCTTTATCTTGGTCTTCTTCTATGTCGGTTTGTATTTC